CACCCTATGTCAATATTGACTGTGGGATTTTTGTAAGTAATATTATTTACGATAATATTACTTACAAAATGTTTCTGATGGCTGGACGTAATCCAAAACGAAATGTAAATGACGTTCAAAGCAACGAGAGAAGCGAGAGTGTTGCAAAGTGGCGCTCAATCGTAGATGTCACTCGTTAGAATTTAACAATGAATATTTGTGATGGAAATCACAAAGATGCATACAAATAGTATGCAGTCAAATTCTAACGTACAAAAAAATGAAATTAATAAAAAATATGTTTAGATTAAACAGATGGTATAAAAATGGCGGTTATATGGGGACTACCCCAAAAAGGGGGTAAATATTATTAATTTTTGGTGGGGAGGTTTGTTACCATATACGACTACAAAATACCAAATTGCAGTGAATTCAGTAGAAAAGTGCGTTCAAGATAATTGGGGTACACTTATATTGGGGTTATCGAAAAAAATAGACCGATATTCATAAATTTTTATGGAGAGATTTGGTAGCTATTAAGAACTCAAAATACTAAATAACAGCCAGTTCGGTGGAAAAATTCGGTCAAAACCCCCCAGATTACGGACAATTAGGAGGTACCGTTATATGGGGGCTACTAGAAAAAGTTGACCTAATAGTACCTAATAGGAACCCAATGTACCAAAATTCAGCGAATTCGGTTGGAAATCGCGCTCAAGAACCGCAAAATACCGAAAATTGGAGGGTACCGTTAAATGTGAGCTCTGCAGACAAAAGACAGACTTATGCAAAATATTAAATTACAACAGACGGACATGGCTAGATCGTCTTAGAATTTTACCCTGATCAAGAATATATTTATTTTATAGGGTCGAAAATAAATGTTTCGATGAACTACAAACGGAATGACAACATTAATATACCATCCATAATATGATGGAGGGTACAGGAGGCGAAAATTAATAATTTTTGATTTTGAGATTTGGTACTATATGGACTACACAAACCAAATTACAGCCAATTCTGTGGAGAAATGCTATCAAAACCCACTCGCTCAAGAACCCCAAAATACCGCAAATTGAGTCTACCTTATATGGTGACTACTCGAAAAAAATTGACTTATATATATATATTAATTTTTAGTGGAGAAATTTGGTACCCAATAATAACCCATTGTACCAAAAAATCGCCTGAAAACGAACTCAATAATCCAAAAGTACCGAAAATTGGGGGTAACCTTATATGGGGGCTACCCGAAAAAATTGATTAGTAGAGAAATTTGGTACCTAATTATAACCTATTGTACAAAATTTCAGCAAATTCGCTTGGAAACGCGCTCAGGGATCCAAAAATTCCAAAAGAATGGGTGTATCCTTATATGGGAGCTGTGGCTAGAGTGATTACAACAGACGGACATGGCACTATCATTATACGCTGATCAAGAATATATATACTTTATAGGGTCGAAAATGATTATTTCGATGTGTTGCAAACGGAAAAACAAAACTAATATACCCTCCATACTATGGTGGAGGATATAAAAAGGGGGTTATATGGGAACTACCCCTAAAAAGGGGCGAATATTAATCATTTTTGTATGGAGATGTGTTACCACATGCGACTACAAAATATCAAATAACCGCAAATTCGGTTGAAAAACTGGCTCAAGAACCAAAACTACCGAAAATTAGGGGGTACCGTTTTATGGAAGCTATCCCTAAACGTGGACCTATATATTCCATCTTCGAACTTGCCTGCAGACATAAGGCAAACCTATGCAAAATTTCAGCACCCTATTTATGGGCGATATGGCTAGATTTCTTAGAATATTACGAACGTCCGTCTGTTGACATCACGCTATATTCTGAAGGAATGTAATATCCGTTTCTTAAAGTACATATTAAAACAATCACCTTTTCCAATTATTAAAACATATTGTTTTAAACCATATCCGAAATAACTTAAACTGTCCTCACATACATGTTCATCATATCACATTTACTCCATTCTCCACACACTATCGAAATCCATTTGTTTGAACTTTGTTTCCAATATGTTTCTGCTCCGCTATGACCACCCATTCTTATAATATAATGCATTATTAGTAGTTTCCAATTTATATATATTGCAGTCTATTATTTATTCCATATACTTCTTTATTATAAAATTAATTTCAACAGCAAATGTAAAATATTCCTTCTACAGTATACATTAATTGTTCCTCTCACATCTTAAGTTTAAATGCAACAAATCTACAGAAAAGGTAAAACAATCTTTATAGAAAATAGGAAAAAATGGTAATGTTCAAAAAGAACATATTGATTTAATCATATTCTCATTTAATCATATTGTTATTATCATTTAGTCATATTATTATTATTGAATCACATTATTATTGTCAGCAAATAACTGACCTAGACTTAATTATTGTTTTTAATCACATTATTATTGTCAGCAAATAACTGACCTAAACTTATTTATTGTTTTGTGTATGCAGGCCAGTAACCCAAATAAAGAAACAACTCGAATGGTTTCACAACTGCATGGGTTACGGGCTGAAGAATAATGCTGATTATACATATTTAGTTAATTTTAGAGTAATTCAAAAATTGTATAAATATTCAATACAAAATAAAGATTCTTTGTAGATTACAAGAAATTGTAAACCTACAAAGATTACGTGATTTACGTGTCTCGTACATCAATATTAATAACAAATTTAATCATTTTTTGGTGACCCCGACGTGATTCCAACAGGAATTTTTGGTGACCCCGACGTGATTCCAACAGGAAGTTTTGGTGACCTCGACAAACAACAAAAATTTCAGGAACCCCCTTTTTTGAGCTTTGGAACAACAACAGGTGGAAATTGCCTGTAACTTATCATCATACAACAACAGGAGGAAATTGCCTGCAACTAATCATCATACAACAATTGCTGCTACGCACTAATACATCAACAAACAACAATGGCAAATGTCCAAGAGCTTATTTCTCAGCAGGAAGAAAGAGCCAGTAATTTCGAAAAATTCGTCTCTACTATAAAGAAGGCCCCTCTTGAAAGAAGAACGGAAGAGTTCTACAAGGGCAAACTTGATGAACTAAGGCTGTTATGGCAGAGTTTCGAGAAGGCAGAAAACAGAATTCGCGATGATCCATCATTATCGGAGGATGATCCGTATATTGCTCGGAATCTATATAGAACGATTGGAGAAAAGTTCAGCTCAACAATGGAATATATAGACGCGGAAATGAAGAAACTGATGTCTGCCAAAAGTAAGCCAGTTCCCACCTTGAGAGAGAAATCGACTGAAGTTGTCGCAGGAGACAAAATACCTACCCGTGTTGATGGACTTGCCAGAATGATAAATGCTCGAATGATTGCCCTTAGTCGTCACTTACAAGGCTTGGGCACAATCGAAGCAGAACAGCCGAAGCAATTTTATAGCATCAAAGAAGATACTATAAAGAAGCTATGGAATCAAATAACGGAGCTCTACGATGAAATATTGCAGCAGATTGAAGATCCATCGAAAATTGGATTGAGTCAAGAAAACTATAGCAGTCTTGAAAGACAAATGCAGCGAAACCGTGACCATTGCACCTCAACTGGGGAGTGACATTATAGCACACAGTTCACTCCCACTACCAAAGGTAACAATTCCTCAATTCAATGGGGATTGTTTGAAGTGGCGTCAGTTCTATGAACTTTTCTTGGAGATGGTAGACAAACAGTCTCTTCCAAGTGTTCAAAAAATGTGGTATCTCAAAACCAATTTATCTGGCGAGGCTAGCAAACTAATCAGCCATCTATCCTTGACAGAGGATAATTACAAAACGGCATGGATGTTGCTGCAAGAACGTTATAACAATAAACGGGTTCTCGTTTCCACTCTGGTAGAACGGATTCTGAGTCAACCAAATGGAACCTCATCAACGGCTTCCATCAAGGCTCTGCATGACACTACAAAGGAATGCATGCTAGCCCTCAACAATCTTCAAATCGACACTACGTCTTATTGATTCAATTGATCACAAAGAAATTGGATCACGCGCTGTACATACGATTCATGCAATCACTGACGAATCCGAAGGAAGTTCCTACTATGAAGGAGCTTTTTGCATTTCTGGAACTACAATTTGAGTCAATGGAATCGATTGGAAAAGCGGCATCTACTCACAAGGGTTCAATCAAAACTGTTTCGTCCGTAATATCAGTGGAGGATCACAGGAGTTGTAAACTATGCAAGAACGACTCCCATCCAATTTATCATTGTAAGAAGTTCTTGGCGATGACAGAAGGTGAGCGATTGAAATGGATACAGCAACAAAAATTGTGTGTAAATTGTTTCAAATCGGACCATGTAGCAAAAACTTGTTTTTCTGGCAACTGCAAAATATGTAGTAATAAGCACAATACATTGCTACATTTGCCAAAAAAGTCTCAACCATCACCGAAGGTTTCAAATCAAACACCACCAACAAAAAGCAATACCCTGTTACATTTCACCACGAAAGATGCAACAGGGGGCAGTACATCAGTGCTGTCACCTCAACAGCCACAGACAGTGGCGTCGGCAAACAGGAGCCAGTCCTATGTCCTTCTAGCAACCGCGAGGGTTTCCATCAAGGCTAATAACGGAAGGTCTTGCGAGTTCAAAGCTATTTTGGATTCCGGCTCACAGATTAACATCGTATCAGAGCGATTAGTGCAGAGGTTGGGCATTGAGCCCATAGAAGCGTCTCTCTGCATCGAAGGTGTTGGTGGAAGAGCAAAAAATTCTAATCAAAGGGTGAACGTAGAGCTTCAGTCGCTAACAAGCAGTTTTCGGACGCGGCTGGAAGCGTTTGTGTTACCAAACATAGTTCCACCACAACCAAGCACAGACATCGACGTGTCATCATGGCCTATACCGGAAAATATAAAATTAGCAGATCCATACTTTTACAATACAAGCAAGATAGACGTACTGCTTGGCGCAGAATTTTACTTCAATCTGATTTTGTCACAAGAGATTCGTATGTCCAAAGAGCTACCGATATTGAAAAACTCGAAACTGGGCTGGATTGCTAGTGGAAAGGTCAATGCAAAATCAGAAACAACCACGTGTGCAGTATTCGGAGAAGATGATCGGGCATTGGAAGAATTATTAAAAAGGTTTTGGGAACAAGATGATGTAGGCGAAGACCAGAAAATGACTCTAGCAGATGAAAGGTGTGAGAATCACTTCCACCATAATACAATAGTCAATGAAGATGGTCGTTTTGTTGTACGATTGCCATTTGCAGATGATGCAGATAAACTATCCGAGTCCCTCAATATTGCAACGTCCAGATTCTTCTCATTGGAGCGGCGCTTATCGAAGGATGCGAGTCTTCGAGAGCAATACGTCAAATTTATGAAGGAGTATGAAGAGCTGGGACATATGACAAAAATACAATCGAGAGAGGTGCGCGGCAGCCACTACTATATCCCACATCATTGTGTCCTTCGCCCAGATAGTAGCACAACTAAACTGAGAGTCGTGTTCGATGCATCCTGCAAGTCCTCATCTGGATGGTCACTGAATAACGTGTTGCATTCAGGCCCAAAGGTTCAAGGCGATTTGTTTGGAATGTTGTTGCGATTCAGACTTCCACGATTTGTGTTTACAACAGATATTGAGAAGATGTACAGACAAGTACTGGTCGACAGGAGGGACCGCAAATATCAACTGATTGTGTGGAGAAATTCCCCGGACAGGGAACTTGAGCATTACATGTTAAATACATTAACATATGGTACAACATGCGCCCCTTATCTGGCTACAAGGTGTCTGAAAAAACTAGCAGATATGAACCTACACAAATATCCATTGGGTGCACAAGTACTTCAAAAGAACTTCTACGTTGACGACGGCATGTGCGGTTCCGACAGTCTATCAACGGCAATCGAGATGCAGAAGCAGCTAAATAACTTATTGTTGCAAGCAGGATTTAGACTGCGAAAATGGTGTGCTAACCACTTGCAACTCCTTCATGGAGTTCCACCGGAAGATAGAGAAGTGGACCTCAACTTCGATAATTCATCAACCAAGGTTCTAGGATTGACATGGATTCCTCAGGTAGACAGGTTCTGTTTAAAGAGTGGTGTGGATGAATGTGAAGTTGTTACCAAGCGAAAGGTCACCTCCGATCTAGCAAGATTGTTTGACCCATTAGGAATTGCAGGTCCTGTAGTCTCAGCAGCAAAGATTTTTATCCAACAATTATGGAAGAATAAGATTGCTTGGGATGATGAGCTGCCACCGGAGATGGCAGCATATTGGTTATCGTTCCGTGATAATCTTAAACTTTTGAACGATTTCAAATTACCCAGACATATGTTCGACGGAGAGAAGCCGACGAAGGTTGAACTTCATACGTTTGTGGATGCTTCAGGGAAGGCATATGGAGCGGTGATATATCTCAGGGCTATGTTGCAAGACGGAAGGCAGATAGTACGGCTTCTTTGTTCAAAGTCGAAAATAGCACCAATTAAGGAGGTCACATTGCCAAGGCTAGAACTGTGTGCAGCTGAATTAGGAGCAAAACTGACTACGAAGGTCAAGGCAGAACTTGGTTATGAAGACGTAAAGACTATTTATTGGTCAGACTCAGAGATTACCTTATACTGGATCAACTCGGAACCATCAACACTGAAAACGTTTGTTGCCAACAAGGTGAAATACATTCAAGACAGAACACTAAGCACTCAATGGCGGCATGTTGGGACAAAAGATAATCCGGCAGACTTTATATCCAGAGGTATGAAGGCAGATCGACTGTCAGGATGTATGATGTGGTTCTATGGGCCCACCTTCTTACACGGAAATGAGTCCCTTTGGCCAAAACCTTTCTTCAAAAATGGATCAAATCAAACAGATCTTGAGTTTAAGGTCAAGTCTACAGTATCAGCAGTAGCTTCACGCAGTGGGTTGCAGGATATAATCTATGGAATTAACCACAAAAATTCATTCAGCCGATTACAGCGAGTTGTGGGTTATGTTTTGCGGTTTACCGAGAGGGTGAAGCGACAAAGGTATGGAGGTTCGACAGAAGTGTTGACCCCGGCAGAATTAGATCAAGCTATGCAACTGATAGTAAAAACGATTCAGATATCAGATTTCGCGAAAGAAGTGCAGCAGTTGAAGAAACATGGTGCATTGGACAAATCCAGTTCAATACACAGTTTAACTCCTTTTTTGGACGACAAGGGGATATTAAGGGTTGGTGGAAGGTTGGAACAATCAACCTTAGCATATGACGCTAAGCACCCAATGTTGCTACCATACAACGATCCTATTGTTAAGCTGATCTTGGATCTGATTCATAGGAAAAACAAGCATTGTGGATCACAATTACTACTGGCATCATCGAGACAGAGGTTTTGGATCATAAAAGGGAAGACGATGGCACGGAATATTGTACAAAACTGTGTGAGGTGTACCCGTGCAAAACCAATGTTATATAATCAAATCATGGGAAATCTCCCATCTAGCAGAGTCACTCCAGCAAGGCCATTTATAGTATCCGGCGTCGACTATTGTGGACCATTATGGGTTCATTACAAAATTAGAGGCAAACGACCACACAAGGTCTATGTTGCCGTATTTTGCTGTTTTGCTACAAAGGCGGTTCATTTGGAAATAGTGACAGATTTGACAACAGAAGCATTTATCGGTGCGTTGAAAAGATTTATTGCTCGTCGTGGGAAATGTCAAACTCTTTATTCAGACAATGCGACTAATTTTGTGGGAGCTAAGAACCAGCTCGACGAACTTAATCATGCGGTGTTTGGGGAGAATAGCAAAACGTTAATAAAGGAGACATGCTCAAAGGAGGGTATAGATTTCCAATTTATTCCCCCAAGAGCTCCGCATTTCGGCGGTCTCTGGGAAGCCGCAGTGAAGTCAGCTAAACAATTGCTACTGCGGACCACCGCTAGCGCATCATTGACTCACGAAGAGTTGGAGACCGTAGTCATCGAAATTGAGGCGATACTGAATTCGAGACCACTAACTCCTATATCAAATGATCCGAATGATCTAACAGCATTAACACCTGGTCATTTTCTTGTTGGTGAACCCCTCACAGCACAAGTCGATCCATCAACCAAGCAATCTACTACATCATTGACAAGTAGGTGGAAGATAGTGTCTCAGATCAAGCACGAGTTTTGGAAACGCTGGTCAACGGAGTACTTAAACACTTTGCAGGAAAGAAGGAAATGGAGTACACCATCGCCAAACATTGAGCCTGGTCAATTGGTCATCAT